TCTGCTCTAAAGAAGTTAAAGTGTCAGGTGGGATACATGTGCTTCCGGATCACCACCAAATTCCCAGAAATTTTACTTCCTGAGAAGGCTTTTGGATTTTCTCTGGGGGAATCTTTGAATCTAGGCTCTCCAGATGAGAGATTATATTCTGCTGGAGATCCCCCACCCCCTTAATTTCCTCTCCTCCTACCAAAATGTCATCAATGTATTGGTAAACAGCTACAGTGTCAGTTTGAGGTATTTTTTCTAATTCCATAGCTAAAGCATTGTGTGCAAGAGTTGGAGAGTGTTTGTATCCCTGAGGGAGTCTAGTGAATGTGCACTGTTGTCCCTCCCATGTGAATGCAATGTGGTCCATGTCCTCTGGCTGTGTAGGTATCAGGAAGAACATGTCTTTGACATCTATCGTTGCCATGATTGTGTGAGCTTTTTCTTGTACTGATGTTATTAATTCAGCTAAATTTGGCACTGCTGCAGTCAGGGGTCAGTGTTGGCATTGAGCCTACGATAATCAATCGTGAGCCTCCACGTCCCGTTGGGCTTTTGGACTGGCCACACGGGTGAATTGTATGGGGAGTGTGTGTTAATTATTACTCCTTGGTCACGCAAATCTTGAATAACCAGTTTGATGCCTTCCCTAGCTCCAGAAGGCAAAGGATATTGTTTCACATTGATTGTTTTACTGCAAGGCAGTGCGGGTGCGGTCTGAAGCAGCCTAATGTTAAGTGGTGGAGTGTCAAAACACCACAGAAAACCCTCAGTGTCTTCCCACTGCCTTCCTGCAAGGACATCCATCCCTAGCAGATTGTTCAGAATGTCCCCAATTACCATTTTGACAACTAATTGATTTTCCTCTCCAGGGAGTGTTACTTTGACTAAAGCAACATTCATGGGTTCTATAGTTCCTAAAGCATTATGAACGCAGCATTGCCTTTTTGTTGGAACAACTCCACACTTCTGGGCACCTTTATGTGTTAGTGTGGAGATCTGGGCTCCCGTATCAACTATGAAGGTTACCAGAACTTATTTGGGGCCCATGATAGCTGTGATTAATATATCTCCTGATTTGTTTTTTGTGAGCATTCGTAGGTAAACCCAACCTCCGTCCCTTCGTCACCTGTAAGCAGCGGAGATATCAGTTTCCTGAAAGCTCTGTTGGTGTGGATTCAGTGTTTGTGTTTTGGGGTACGGGCGGGTGGACAGTTATGTTGCTTAGGCTCTATGAAAGAAGTTGTGAAAGGGTTACTTCTGGCTTACTGCCAGTGCTTTTTAAGAGACATGCAGCCAGGGTTTCACTGTCCAAGTTCTGAGAAAGAAGCTGAGAAAGAGTTAGCTTTGGCTCACTGGCTGTGTTCTGTGGGAGGGACTGAGATGCAGTTTCACTGCCCAGATTCTGAGGGAGAAACTGGGGAAGGGTTAACTTTGGCTCACTGGCTGTGTTCTGTGGGATGGAATGAGATGTACTGTGTGTACTGTACTGTGTATTAGAATGGGGACCTTAGGGCATCGGCCTGGCCACGGCCCTGCAGCTCACCAGGGACCCCCAGAAGCGACACCTGGGTGAGAGGTGTGTCCCCAAATGTCCCCAGGGCAGGGAGGGTGACGAGGGACACACAGGGCGGGGAGGGGTGGATATGGCGGATCTGTCGCGGGGCGCTGAGTCCCGGCTGGATGATAACAGGGGTGCAACAGAGCCCCCGTTGGAGCTCCGCAGAATCCCAGCTGCCAGTGGAGGTTCGGTGCAGAAACAAAAAGGCAGCAGCACGGGCCCTGGGGTGGAACTGGGGGAACTTTATTCAATGGTAAAACTCCCTGAGTCTGTAGCAGGCTCCATGGAATTGGCCAGGGCCCCATGGAGGGCTGAGGCTTAGCGACAGGAATTGCTGAGTCATGATGAAATAGCAAAATAAGCTCCTGTCTTCCACCTCTCGGACCCCAGCTTATCTCTGTAACCCCATAGGTCACTTTCCCCCAATCCCTACTATTGGACAAGTTTGGATCCTTTTGTACCCTATAAAAAGGGGCTATTTTAGACCATTTGGCAGAAGAAGAGCGTCGCTGGAACCCTTTACACACCCCCCAATAAAACCATCGCTGTGGAACGCCAGGACCTTTCTTCTCCTCTCTCGTCTGCTTCCCCCGATAGCCTGCCAGGCACCTTAGCAAGCAAGGAGCTGGAATTCCAAGAGAGCTGATAATCACTAAAGAGCTGATATCCACTCAGCTTGCTTAAGGTAGCCATGGCCACGAGCAGCCTGGGTATTTGGGCTCTCTGTCCCCAGCAGGGACTGAGCTATCCGGCCCGTGCTGCCTTGCTCGGGGGCAAAACCTGCCCTGCGGGCTGAGGGGCAATGCGAGTCCAGGATCCCAGGACCCTAAACAGACAACAGCTTATAAACGGGGGGGGTCTCGGGGAGGATAAAATCTCTAGCTAATCGGGGGAACTGGGGGTGGGACACAAGGCAGGGAATACAATGAGTAAACCAATGAAGGACTTCAAGGGAGGAGAACAGCTTGAGTAAACCAATGGGGTTTCGAAGGATACAAAACTGACAGGGAAGTTTCTAGAGGGGAGGGCAGGTTCGGGCAGGGATTGACATTGAAGCCATTTATTACAATGAACAATAGTTTCTGAGAAATAAAAGAATTAAAAGACACTTAAAGTATATCAAGGGAATCGCAGAAGTTAATAAATAACCTAAAATACACTGTTAGGGAGAACTTTGATCAGATATCTAGATAAGTTAATAAATAATCTAAAATACACTCACAGAAGAAACTTTGGAATTAGAATATTTGAAGAAGCAGAAGTGGAAGCCAATAAGTTAAAGTGACCTGCCAAGCCGTTAGAATCAAGCCAAGTACAACAGTAACTTCTGCCAAGCCATGGAAAAACATGCCAAGGATAACAGGAAGATATCCAAATTAGGAAAAGCTTAAAATTTAACTAAGGAAGACCCAGAGTTCCCGGAAGACTCCGCCTATACTCCTGCCTGCCTATGAATATGCATGTAATAAATGATGTAATCCTTGTTCAAAATTGTATAAAAACCTGCTTTTGCTGTACATAATTTAGAAATCCATTTAGTGATTTCTCCAACGCGTTGTCAATAAATACCTCCTGCCTATAGACCTTAAATCCAGTCTCTGGGCAGCTTATTATCGCCTTTTGGGGCAAAATTCGGTATCAACATTCAATGGAAGGAGGAGTAAGGAAGGGTCTGGGGCAAAGGTAGGGGCAGGAGGGGTTAACAGCTGGGAAAGGGTGGAGGTTTGAAACTTGGCAGGGAGTAGCTGGGTAACAAACAGAACTAAACTGAATAACGGGGAGGACAATACAGAGGGGTTGCAAACCCACAAATTACACAGAGAACCTGCCAAATAAAGAAAGCACGCTTCAACAGGTGGACATCCTGGGAGTGTCCTCAACTCCTTAAGGGACACACCAGGATTGTCCCCAGCAGGGGATTTCGGGATCCTTGATGGATTTTTGAGATCCCTGATGAATTTTGGGAGGTTTTGGGATCTGTGATGAATTTTTGGGGTCGCAGTACCGGTCAGCATGCGAAACCTGTCACGATGGATTTGGGGCCAGGGCTCTCTAATGGGGTTTTTGAGATCCCTGGTGAAGTTTTGGGATCCCTGATGAATTTTCGGGGTCACTGACTGATGTTTGGGGTTGCAGTCCCGGCCACCATGAGGGCCCTGTTGCAGCAGGGGCCACTGGAGGGGCCATCCTTGGGGACAGCCTGTGGATCCTGTGGCTCAATGTCACCAGCAACAGTTCCGTGGCCGAGAGCCTGTGGGGAGTTCCAGGGGGATGCGTGGACATCATGGGTGAGGAGTTTTGGGGGGTTCTGGGGTGGTTTAAAGTATGACCCATAGCACAGGAAATGGACCCAAAATGGAGGGGGAAGGACTCAAAATCAAAGGGTGTCATGGGATGTCGTGGGGTGTCACAGGTGCCGTGGCATGACTCTGCCTGTGCCAGGGTGGGCACAGACACTCAGTGCCAGGAGCAGCCATGGGAACATCCTGAGGGACACGGGGACACCCCGCAGGACACAAAGAGACCCTGCAGGACAGGAACCCAAGACCTCGGGGACTTCAGCCCCACCAGGGGTGGGGACAGGGACATAGGGGGAGGGACAGGGACACACAGAGGGGTGACAGGGACACACGGGACAGGATGGGGACACAAAGAGGGGTGACAGGGACACACGGGACAGGACGGGGACACACAGAGGGGTGACAGGGAGCCATGGTGGGGGATAGGGACATACAGAGGGGAGGAGGGGACATGATGCAACCATGACAAACATCAGGGGACAATGTTGCCACATCTGTGTGGATGCTGCCACCAGGACGCCTCTGGTGACACCCAGTGCAGGACAACCCGACCTGCCAGGTGACACTGACCTTTTCCCCTGTCCCCAGCCTGTCCCCAGGGGCAGCTGAGGTCCCCTGAGTGCAGTGGCCCTGGGACACCCTGGTGGCTGTCACTCGCTTACGGGCCGCTTGTCATCAGCTGAACAATGGCCCCATCCTGCCCTGATGGGTGGTGACATTCAGCTGGGACACCGCGGTGGTGACAGTGGGGATGTGGTGGCAGGAATTGCATCAGGCAGCGCTTTGCCATGGCCCAGATGAAGGTGCTGGTGGCACTGTGGTGGTGGCATTGATGCTGTCCCAGTTCATGTCCCTATGCATGTTTGCCATGTTCCCATCCATGTCTGTGTTCTGCCATGTCCCCCCATGGCCCTACACATGTCATTGTACCCCACATGTCCTCATGCACGCCTTAGTTCAACACCTTTATTTCTACCCCAGTTTCAGGGCTTTGAAAGGAATGAACAGAAACCTTTTAGTTTCAAGGCAAAAAAAAAAACCAAACTATTTATATATCACTGCTGGCAGAGCAACCATGTGCTTGGCGGGTGGGAAGCACCTCTTTGGAGGGGTTGCCACCCAACTGTCTTGACAATTGGAAAATTGAGGGTTTTGCCCCAGTCCCTCCAAATTGGGCTGTGGAAGATATCTGTGGGCCAGAGAGAATTAAAACGATGGATTTATGTTGGAGAAGACTTCCAAGGCTATCCAGTGTTGTTAAGGCCACCAGAAGAGGCAAAAAGTGATTTTTTTCTGGGGTCAGGAGTGGACAAATCAGCTCTACAAAATGGATTTTGGATGTTGGTCCATGGATGTGTGCAGGTACCCACAGGCAGCCAGGAGGATGTGGAGCCCCCCAGCCAGGTGTCTTCCCAACAGGGATCACTGGCACCACAGATCACTGGGGGTCACTGGGGATCATCCAGGGTGGACCTCCCATAGGGGATGGAGCTGGAGCAGCGCAGGAAGCTCTTCCTGCACTCAGGGCACTCACAGGGCTGCCCTTAGTGGTGCCTCCGTTGATGGTGGGTCACGGCTGAGCTTTGCCGGAATCTCTTCCCACACTCGGGACACTCATAGGGCGTCTCCCCGGTGTGGATGTGCCGGTGGCTGGTAAGGTGGGTGTTGCGCTGGAAGCCCTTCCCGCAGTCGGGGCAGCGGAAGGGCCTCTCGTCTGTGTGAGTGCGCAGGTGAAGCAGGAGATGGGAGCTGGTCTTAAATGCCTTCGAGCATTGATCACACACGTACGGCCTCGCCCCAGGCCCCTCTCCGCTGTGGATGCGGCGGTGCCTGACGAGGGTGGAATTGTCATTGAAGCCCTTCCTGCAGTCAGGGCAGCGGAAGGGTCTCTCATCTGAGTGAATGCGCTGGTGCTGGCGGAGATGAGAACTGGTCTGAAACCTACTCCTGCATTTATCACACTTGTAGGGTCTCTCTCCAGTGTGGATCCGCAGGTGGACAGGCAGGTAGCAGCTCCTCCTGAAGCTCTTCCCACACTCGGGACACTCATATGGCTGAACCTCTGTGTGGATTCTCCAATGGCGGACCAGGTAGGATCTCTTGCTGAAGCTCTTCCCACATTCCGAGCACTTGTGGGGCTTCTCCCCAACCTGAAGCTGCTCATGGACCCCCAGCTCTGAGCTCTGGCCGCCTTCCTGGCCCTGGGTGGAACTTTCCTCCTCAGATCCCCGAGATCTGTGTTTGCAGCCCCTCCTCATGCGGGTTCTCCAAGACTTTTCCTCCCCATTGGATTCCTGCGCTGTGGAGTTGCTCAAAACAGCCTCTTCCATGAGGTTCTGCTGTGGGGATTTGTCCTCCCTGCTCTCCATCCTCAGCTCCTGCTCTGGGGGAGGAAGGACAAGGAGAGGATGGGATTTGCCTCTGTACCACAGGGAAGGGCAAGGAGATGCCCCCAGTGCATCCCCAGCAGGACAGCTTTGGCAGCAGGGTTGTCCTGCAGCCGGGGACCGTGCTGGGCTGGGAGATGGAGCAGGAGAGAGAGGGAAAGGGGCACTGACTTCCTCCTCACCTGCCTGGGGCTCCCGGGCCATCTTCCTCTTCTTCTTCCTCACGGCCTTGAAGCCCCAAAACGGATAGCCTTCAAGAAATAATGAGTTAAAACATGGAATGTGAAACATTCGAAGAAAGCATAGCACTTAGGAAACATATAGAGCAATAAATCGGCTAAGGCATGGAACACAATGACAGGAAAGAGAGATAGGGATAGGGGAATTGATGGGCTAAGCATGTTCAGAGCCAACAATGTCAAACTGACCCTAAGAGCCTTGCCAAGCCATGGGGACCAAGCCAAGTACACTGGGAATTGGCCATATTAGGATAGGAGTTCAAAAGTTTAAGGAGGAAGACTCATCAGGTGACCCCTGTCCACGATGAAGGCAACCGGAACGACCACCAAAATGATCCTCAAAAGAGATGTCTCCGCCCACGCTCCGCCTACACCACGCCTCTTATGAATATGCATGAAAAAACATGATTATGCATGTGATATGATGTAACTTTATATTCAAAACTGTATAAAAGGCTTGCTTTTGTTACGAGATAGGGAGAAATCCCTTTTGTGATTTCTCCGACGTGTCGTAATAAAATACCTCCTGTCTATGCTGACTTAAATTGAGTCTCTTAGGCAGTTATTCTCGCCTTTTGGGGCAAAATTCGGCATCAGCCTCCTGCATCGGGCCAAGGTTTGAGAATGGGAAATCCTGGTTTGGGGGAAAACAAGGGCTGAGCGCGTTGGGTTTCATGGTCCCGCTGCCCAAGTATAGCTGGAGAAGTCAGCGCCCCTTTCAGCCTCAGGAGGCCCGGAGCCCGCTCATCCCCAGCATCCCGCACCCCTCCAGGCAGCCGGTTTGTCCCCCGGCTCCGGGATCGCCCCTCTGCGCTCTCCCCGCTCCGGGGCTCCCGAGCTCCCCCCAGCTCTCCAGGGCATCTCCCAGCCCGAGATCGCCCCCGTGCCCGCCGGTACCAGGCGAACGTGAGACCGCCCATGCTCTCTCCACGGGAAATTTACGGTTCGGGTTTGGGGTCCTGCAAGAGTCAAACATCCCCTGCCCCACGAAAAAACCCTCCCGGAGACCCCCCCACGATGGATCTGGTGCGAGCTCCCCCATCCCGCTCACCTGCGGCTGCTGGAGGGGGCGATGCAGCAGGAGCCGGGGGAGCTTCGGCCTGAGGGGCGGGGGAAGGCGGCGGGGAAACCAGCGTAGTTCTGCCGCTCGTCTTCCTCCCGGTCCTCCTCTTCCTCCTCCTCCTCCTCTGTCCCTCCTCTTCCTCCCGCTCCTCCTCCGCTCCCAGCCCGGCCCGGACAGTGCCGACCCCCAAAAGCAGCCGCGCTCTGTCCTGGGCGCGCGTTCCGAAACAACACCGCCCCGCGCGGCACTGGGAGTGATCCTGGGAGCACCGGGAGCGATCCTGAGAGCAGCGGGAAGGAACTGGGAGCGCTTTCCCTGCCAGTGCCGCTCTTACCAGGAGCACTGGGAGGGAACTGGGAGCAAAGAGCGCCCGGAGGCGGCCGCAGCCGGCGGTGGGCGGAACCACGGTGGAAGGCGTGGTTATGCAAATACAGGAGCGATCGCGCGCTGGGATTGGTGGACGGGAGCAGCGCGGGGTTTATTCGGTTGTGTGAGGGCCGGGGGAGCCGGAACGATGGCGGTGGCGTGCGGTGAGAGGGGACGGAGAGCGGGAATGGGGACAGGGAGTGGGAACGGGACCAAGAATGGATATAGGGACCGAGAATGGGACCGGGGAAGGGGACCGGGACTAGGGACAGAGACTGGGAATGGAGACCGGGAATGGCACCGGGAATGCGGGCAGGGACCAGAAATGGCACCGGGAATGGGGACAGGAGCCGAGAATGGGGGCCGGGAGTGGGACCGGGGAAGGGAATAGGGACCAGGAATGAGACCAGAGATGGGGACAGGGTCCGCAAATGGAGACAAGGACCAAGGAGGAGAATATGGGAACGGGACGGGGAACATGGAAACAGCAACCGCAGAGAGAATATGGGCTGGGGATTGGTGCTCCAAAGTGTCCCACTGAAAGCCAGCAGGGGCTGTGAGCTCTGCAGCTGGGCCTCCCCTGCGCTGCTGCGGCCCAGGGCCCAAAGGCGGGAACTGCAGCCTCGCTCCTGTCTCAAGAACAGGAGCCTCCTCCAGGCCCATGGCCCCTGCCTGGCCCCAGCGTGAGGGAGGGCTCTGAGGCACAGCGGCTGCTGGCAGGAGGGGCTGCTCTGGCCAGCCGGGGGCCTCTGAGAAATGCCCAAAGCCTTGTGCTCTCTGCAGCTGGCCAAGGACAGCAGCGGGGCTGAACGGTTTGTGTGGCACAGCCAGCCCGAGCTGTGCAGCCCTCAGGAATGGGACCAGGACAGGACCGGGATTGGGAACAGGGCCAGGAATGGGGACAGGGACTGGGAATAGAACCAGGAATTAGACTGGAAATAGGAGATAGGGACAGGGACCAGAACAAGGACCAGGCTATTGGGACTGCAACCGGAAATGGGAACAGGGACAGGGACTGGGATATGATTGAGAAAATGGGAGAGGGACCTGGAATGGGACTGGGGATGAGAATATTGGAATGGGACAGGGAATATGGAAACAGGAACCAGAGAGAGAATATGGGACGGGGATTAGGAAGATGGTATCGGGATTGGGAACAGGAATAGAGGAGTGAGAGTGGGAATGGGAATATGGGAGTGAGACAGGGAATACAGAAATGGAAATGCGGGACCAGTAGTAGGATTGGGAATATGGGAACAGGACGGGGAATATGGGATTTGGAATATGGGAACGGCAATGTAAGGTTGACCCAGGGCCTTTGTGGGGTCTGGTTTGGCAGCTCTGGACCCCCGGGCCTCACTATCTCACAAGGACCAACGTAAAGGACGGGAGGCGCTTTTCTCCTCGGGACCAAAAATCCCACCTTAACTGTGGAATCACTCCAGGCAGGTCCAAGAGGGGAAAAGAGATCAAGTGTCTGATCGCGGGTGATTTTAAACCCAGGGAAAGGGGGGCGGAGGAGAGAGGCCACGGCCAATGGGATACAACTGATGGGAGGGCTGAGGGGAGGAGTAACCCAGGGCAAGAGCAGCACCGGGGCTTTGGGGGAGAGGGGTGTGTGCGGGACAAACCATGTGATACAACATCAACTATTCCCTGCAAAATAACAAGACCAGCCAGTGCAGAACAATAACTAAAGAAACAACTTAGTGCAATACAACCAGACAGACAGGACAGGGACAGGGAATGAGACTGGGGATGGGATTCAGACTGGCATGGAAGCAGAATGGGCCCAAGAGTGGGGTGACATGGGAATGGGCCAGAGGAAAGGAGGGTGACAGCAGGGAGAGGGGGATCCTGTACAGGGAACTTCAGGAACCAGGATGGGGGAGATGGGAACAGTCCCAGGGCAGGGGGGCCTTGATCAGCTGCCCCAGAACTGCGACCAGGGCCTCCCAGCACAGCTGGAGCCACTCAGCCTGGGGTGCCCAAAGCCCTGAGCAACCCCCAGATCCCTCCCAGGAACCCTCAAATCCCTTGGACCCAGCATCCCCCACATCCCCTGGAATATCCCCCCATGTTCCCATCAATGTCTCCGTTCAATGTCTTTATTTTTTTACTCCAGTTTTGGGTGTTTTGAAGGGACAAAGAGAAATGACAAGAAAACCCAGGCCATGGGGACCCAGGAGGATGTGGAGCCTGCAGGCAGGTGCCTTCCCAACACGGATCACTGGGCTCTGCCCACCGGGGGTCACTGGGGATCATCCAGCGTGGATCCTCCCGTGGGGCTTGGAGCTGGAGCAGCACAGGAAGCTCTTCCCGCACTCAGGACACTCTCAGGGCTTCTCTTAGCGGTGGCTCTGTTTGTGTTGGGTCGAGCTACAGCTGTGCCTGAAGGTCTTCCCACACTCGGGACACTGGTGTGCTGTGCTTGAGGAGATCCAAACTGCTCCGAGCCTTTTTCCCACACTCGGAACACTCGTGGGGCTGTTCCCCAGTGCGGCCCTTCTGGTGGGAGGTCAGAGTGGATCGAACACTGAAGCTCTTCCCACATTCCAAGCACGTGTAGGGCCGTTCTGTGGTGTGCACCCGCTGGTGGTAGAGGTGGGAGCTGTGCCTGTACCTCTTCCCACATTCCCTACACTCCCAGCGCCGCTGCCCCGTGTGCACCTGAAGGTGGGTGAGGAGCCTGAAGCTCTGTCTGAAGCTCTTTCCACATTCCAAGAACTTCTGGGGCTTCTCCTCATCTTGAAGTTGCTCCCAGCTCTGAGCTCCGGCCGCCTCCCCAGCCTCGGGTGTGTCTTTCCCCCTCAGATCCCTGTGATCTGTGTCTGCAGCCTCTCCTTGTGCCCGATGTCCGGGGCTTTTCCTCCCCGTTGGGTTCCTGTGCTGTGGAGCCGCTCAAAACAGGCTCTTCCACGAGGTTCTGCTGTGGGGATTTGTCCTCCCTGCTCTCCATCCTCAGCTCCTGGTCTGGGGGAGGAAGGACAAGGAGGGAAAGGGATTTGCCTCCGTTGCCACGGAGGGAAGGGCAAGGAGATCCCCCCAGTGCGTCCCCAGCAGGACAGCTTTGGCAGCAGGGTTGTCCTGCAGCCGGGGGCCGTGCTGGGCTGGGAGATGGAGCAGGAGAGAGGGGGAAAGGGGCACTGACTTCCTCCTCACCTGCATTAAGCTCCCGGGACATCTTCTTCTTCCTCGCAGCCTCCTCCTCCTTTTGCATTGGGCCAAGGTTTGGGAATGGCAAATCCTGGTTTGGGGATGAAAACAAGGTGTGAGAGCTGGGGATTCCTCCTGCCCAAGCCCATCTCTAGAAGTCACAGGAGCAGGGATTGAGCTGGGAGAGACCGGGATGGGCAGTGTGGGGCTCTCAGCTTCTCCCATCTGATGGGGGCAGGGGGAATCCAACGTGGGGAAAAGGAGAGGCAAACTGGGAAAATTGTGGGTTGCAAATCCACACTTGGGCTTGGTGGGAACCCTGGGTAGGAAATTCCATCCCTTTGGGCTGATGCCCGAAATATAAGCTGGAAATAAATCCCCACAGAGCGGTGTTTTTAGATGTCACGTGCTATGGTATATTCATGCAGTAGGTGTTGCTCAGTGTCACTGTGTCACTACAACATCATCACCTACCTGCAGGACTCACTTACATTGTATGAGCTCATGGGTATTAGATAGTTCTTCTGCAGTGCACTTGCACTTTCCTAATCTGGGGTCTGTCAGGAGTCTGTGATTGTCCTGGTTTTGCAGGGAGGGCATTTTAGGAAAGGCTTCCAAGGCTTTCTTCACATCTGAAGTTTTCAACTTGGTCTTTGGAGCATGTGCTGTTATGGTGTTCCTTGGTGTGTCTGGTCCTAACCAGCCTAAATTATTTGTTTTGTGGCTCATTGGCTTTGCACAATTTCTCATTAGTACTATCCCTATCTATCTCTGAAGCTCTCCACCTGGTGAGGTTTTTTTCTTCTTTTTTCTGTCTATTCAGCATTAAGCAAATAGTTAATCATAAAAAAGCCATTGCACTGTACAAAGTTATTTATATCAGGTTATATAGGCACAAAAAAAGGATGATTCAGGTTATCTAAGTATATTTATATAGATATATAAAAAGTCATGATTTAGGTTCTATTGATATCAGGTTATATAGATCTATCAGGTTATACTGATATAACTCAAGCTATATCATCACTTTGTAACTTTGATCTAAGTTCTGTCGGCATCAGGGCCCTTCCCAAAGGCCTGGAGGTGTTGGAGCAGGGACTACAAAGACAGGTGAGGGATCCCAGGAGTGAGATTTTGGGGATGGGATCCGTGGGGATGGGAATGTCCCGGGGCAGGGTCACACGTGAGCCAGGTGTGCAGGGCAGGACCTTGCCCTGACCCCAAGCACTGTCCCAGCTGCAGGATCTGCTTCCCATCAGCCTCTTCCTCCTGCGGCCCCAGGCCCAGCTTGGTGCTGAACAAAGGGGCTGGGCCGGCGTCATCCCCTGGTGGGGGCTGTGCACTCCCTGTGCCCCCTCCCCAAATTCCCTCTGGGGGGAGCAGGAGCTGGGGCAGGAGCCCTGTGGGGAGGGACAAGGGGGTGACACCAGGATGGGAGGGTCACACACAGCCCAGGGGGATCCCCCCTCACTCCCAGGGTGCCAGGAAGACAAACCCCTACATGAAGCCCCTGTCCCCCAGCAGCACCTTGTGGGCAGGGTCTGGTGGCAGCTCTGGGGGTCTGGGGGGTCATGACTGCCTAAAAGCCCCTCCCAGCCCCCTCAAACCACCCCACAGATCTCTGCTCACTCCCCAAACCACTCCATACAACAGAAATGGCCTCAAGATCCATCAAAACTCTTTTCCACCCCTCCAAAGACTCACCCAAATTCTTTCCAAGCTGCACAGCCCTTCCAGAACTCCCAAAACTCCGCCACAGACCCCTCAAAAGCCCCCTACACCCTCCTAGCACCAGAAATGCCCCCAAGAGCCACCAAAAGCCCCTTCCAATCCCCTCAGGATCCCCTAAATATTTTCCCTGCCCCCCTGTGGCACTGACCAGGGGAGGTCTGTGGACAGGAACATCCACAGCTGGGAGCAGCTCAGGCACTTCATCACCGTTTTAGGCACTTCCATCCCTTTGGGCTCTTGCCAGAGGCCTGCAGATGTTGGAGAGGGGACTGCAGGGAGGGATGAGGGATGCCAAGGGTGGGGTTTTGGGCACAGGAGGAGGGGCTGTGTGAGCCACTTGCTGGGGTGTCCATCTGGAGGCCCCCCTGGTGGTCCCAGGCCCCAGGCTGCAGAGCTGTTACCACCTCCTACTTGGGGTGGTGGCTCTGGTGGCACCTCTGCTCCTTGGGGCTCTTCCTGCAGCCAGAGAACTTGGAGGGACCCTCCTCTGGCTGGGTCCTCCAGGCGTTCCATGAGCTTTGCTCCATGAGCTCCTACTGGAAGTGACTGGGCTCTCCTGGGATCATACGGAGATCATACTGGGAGTGACTGGGAATGACTCCAAGCATGCTGGGGCAACTGGGATATACTGGGAGTGTCTGTAACCCTATTGGGAGTGACAGAGACCACACTGGGAACAACAGGGACCATGCTGGGGACAACAGGGACCATGCTGGAGGCAACTGGGAGCAAGTGGGAGTGACTGGGTCTACACTGAGGGCAACTGGGCATGACTGGGACCCTGGTGGAAGAGACTGGGATCATACAGGGAGTGACTGGGACTATACTGGAGGCCACTGGAAGCAACAGGGAGCAATTGGAACCATGCTGAGGGCAACAGGAATCATACTGGGAGTGACTGGGCTCTGGGAAGCACAGGACGGTGAGGAGCAGGAGGACAGCTCCCATCCCAGCCCCACAGATAACCCCTATTGCTGTGGATCCCGCAGCCCCTGGCTCCCCCAGCTCAGCCCTGCTCTGGCTGTTCTGGACTTGCAGCAGCTCTGGGCCAGTGGGGGATGTGCTGGGTGCACTCACCAGGCTGGCTCTGGGACTCCCAATATTCTGGCTCAAATCTGGCCCTGCTCAAAGGGGGTCCCAGCCAGGTGCATGCAAAGGTGGGTGAGGAGGCTGGAGCACTGCCTGAAGCTCTTCCCACATTCCAAGCACTTGTAGGGCTTCTCCCTGCCATGAAGGTGCTCAGGAACCAACAGCTCCAAGCTGCATCCCGGCTGCTTTCCCAGCACAGGGTGGGTCTTTCCTCCTCATGGCTTCCTGGGCTGGGTTTGCAGCCCCTCTTCATGTGGGATCTCCGGGGCTTTTTGTCCCCATTGAATTCCTGCACTGTCAAGCCTCTCAGAACAGCCTCTTGCATGAGGTTCTGCTGTGGAGATTTGTCCTCCCTGGTCTCTGGCCTCAGCTCCTTTTATGGGGGAGGAAGGACAAGGAGAGAAAGGAACAAGAAAAAGGAAGGAAGTGGAGGAAGGAAGTGGCGGAAGGAAGGAAGTGGCGGAAGGGAGTGGCGGAAGGAAGGAAGTGGCGGAAGGAAGGAAGTGGCGGAAGGAAGGAAGTGGCGGAAGGAAGGAAGTGGCGGAAGGAAGTGGCGGAAGGAAGTGGCGGAAGGAAGTGGCGGATGGAAGTGGCGGAAGGAAGGAAGGAAGGAAGGAGGGAAGGAGGGAAGGAAGGGAGGGAGGGAGGAAGGATGGAAGGAAGGAAGGATAAAAGGAAGGAAGGAAGGAAGGAAGGAAGGAAGGAAGGAAGGAAGGAAGGAAGGAAGGAAGGAAGGAAGGAAGGAAGGAAGGAAGGAAATTTATTTTTGTGCCACAGGGAGAAAGAGATTTCTCCAATCCACTCCTGGCAGGATGGCGTTGGCAGTGGGGTTGTCCTGCTGGGCTGGGAGATGGAGCAGGAGAGAGGGGGAAAGGGGCACTGACTTCTTCCTCACCTGCCTGGGGCTGCCAGGGCATCTTCATCTTCCTCATGGTCTCCTCCTCCATCTGGTCAAACTTTGGGAACTGAAATTCCTTTTCTGGGGAATAAACAAGGTGTGAGTGTGTTGGCTTGGGTGTTCCTCCTGCCCAATTCCATCTCCAGAAGTCACCAGGTGTCTGGTGTCCATAAAAACCTCCAGACCAGCAAGGTTCAGCCACCCTCATAAAAACCCAAACCACCAGGATTCACCAAACAACCATTCACCCAGGAGTTCCCCGCTCTGGTCTCTCCACTTTGGGGTTCAGGGGTCCCTCCTGCCTGGCCTTCTGCAGCTCCAGTGTGTATTGGTGTCCCCTCTCTCTGGGCTGCAGGGGCTCCTGGCAATCCCAGAGGTTCCCTTCCCTGGGCTCCCAGGTGGGTGTCAGAGGGGCTCCAGGGGTACCAGCTGTGCAGGGTCCCCGTTTCAGGGCCCCGGGGTACCCATGGGTCTCTCTTGTCCATGGTCCCAACATCTCCTGCAGAGGGTCCCCCTTATCCGGGCTCCACGTTCCAGGCTCCCGGGGTCCCCCTTATCGGGATGTCCGACCCCGCAGGCTGCAGAGGCTCCTCCAGCTCCGGTGCCGCTGAGGCACTGCGGATTCTGCCGCAAGGCTGAATATTCAGCTCATGGAATCTTTGTTATCTCTGCTTACATGTGCAAAACCAGCTGCTGCTGAGACAATCCTAGCTCCGACTGAAGGTTTCCCACCCAAAATGCTGCATTCAGTTCTGACACACTGTGGGATTTCTGGGCTGTTCAGATGGTCTGGGGAAAAGCCCAAAGATGGCCTTGGGCCCCCGGGTTCGAAAGGACGAGAGGAAGCTTCGGATTTGTTCTCGGTCTTGGTGTTTATTAATTGCTTATCTAAAAGATTTTCTCTTGGCCTGACAGAGTTCTGCTCAGCAGTCAGCCATGGGCACACACTGAAAGCCCCTGGGGCGGTCACCTATCTTTATACCCGGAGTTACGTATACAATATTTATCATTTTTCTCCAATACCCTCTACCCTTATTAACCAGTGTTCCCCTAGTAAGGTCCAATCCCGGAGTGCCAACATCACCACAGAAGATGGAGGCCCAGAGGAAGAAGAAGAAGGAGAAGGGCACGCCCCAATCCCTCCATCTTGCCTCTCTAGACCCCCCTGTACAGGGATCTTAAACCCTGTATCTCACACTCCAATTAACTTGTCCCTTCACCATTCACCCCAGTGAAATCCTCCCGTCCTCATACTGATGTCATCTCCCATGTGGGATCAAAGTCCAGCCACCAGACATCTCTGGCAGCATTCCAGGACTCCCGAGCCCCCCAGGGGGGGTCTGGTTCACCCTGCACCCCAGTTCTGAGAGACTGAGATCCCACAACACACCATTAAGAAATCCCAGAGCAAAACTGAACACTGATTACAGAATCTTGCAAAATCCCATCCCAGAACATTTTGTCATAAAATCACAAATATTAACAGGTGCTGAGAAAGTCAGCAACATTACAAAACAAGCTTCCAACACTGGGACTAGAAGAGTTCAGGCAATGCATTTGATTGGAATGAGCCCTCTCTTTCTGACATGTGAGCAATGCCATCGAATTTCCCAAACCAGGGAAATGGGGAGCCCTGGCAGCAGCAGCTTCACACACAGCAATGACACAGAACAGGGCAGGGCAAGAGGCTGGAAAAATGATAACTTCTACTTGCAATTAAGAACTCTTGTTTCAAGTTCTACTAAAGACACTCTTAATATAGAGTCAAAAAGATTAAAAAATACTAGTAATAACTGTAATATTAAGAGCAAAAGTAGCCAAAATAGCAATAAAAAGAATGAATAATGGTAATAAAATCCTATCACACTTATACTAGGTTTGCATGGCTAGGTTTTGGTAAGAGGGGGCCCTAGGAGCACTTTCTGTGAGAGGATGATGGAAGCAGCTGCTCCTCCATGTCCCACAAAGGCAATTCCAGCCAGCTCCAGGACAGACCAGCCGCTGGCCAAGGCTGGGCCTGTTAGAAATGGTGGTAACACCTTTGGGATAAGAGATGTACGAAAATCGGTTATCATGTAGTTGTAGCTGTGACCAGGGTGAGAACATGAGAGAGGAACAACTCTGCACACCCCAGGGCAGGGCAGGACAAGGGGCAGGAGCTGCTGCAGGGGCTGGAGCTGATTGCCCTGAAATTCCCTGGGGCAGCCCCTGGGGAGGCAGCTGAGCCCCTGCAGCCCATGGAGGGCACGGAGAGCAGAGATGCACCTGCAGCACCTGGAGGAGCCCGTGCTGGAGCAGGGGGTGTCTGAGCAGGGGCTGTGACTCCATGAGAAACCTGTGCTGGAGCAGGGACCAGGCAGGGGCCTGCAAACCCATGGAGAGAGGAGCCCACGCTGGAGCAGGGTCCTTCCATGTGAGCCCATGGGAGAGTGAGGCACGCTGCAGCAGTTTGTGAAGAGCTGCTGTCCCTGAGATGAACTCACCTTGGAGAAGTTCATGGAGAAGTGTCTCCAGGAGGGACCCCATGGTGCAGCAGGGGAACGACTCCTCTCCTTGAGCAGCAGGAGAAACAACAGGAATGAACTGAGCAGAACCCCCATGCCTGTCTGCCTGCACCACTGGGGGAGGAGGCAGAGCTGGGAGGGAGGGGCAGAAGGTGTTTCTAAAACTTTATTTTACTTCTCACTATCCTGCTCTGATTGATAGTAATAAATTCAATTAATGTCTCTAATTTTGAACTGTTTTGCCCATGATAGCATTTGCTGAATGATCTGTCCCAGTCCTTAACCCATGAAGATTTCATTCTATTTTCTCTCTCCTCTCCATCTCTGGAAGGGAATGAAAGCAGCTTTGGTGGGCGCCTGACACCCATCTCTGCTCCTTGTGATGTCACAGGCCCATGAGTGTCCCAAGTGTGGGAAGAGCTTCTGCCAGAGCTCAGCCTTGACCCAACACCAATGGAGGCACCACTAAGGGCAGCCCTGTGAGTGCCCTGAGTGCGGGAAGAGCTCCGTGCACTGCTCCAGCTCCATCCCCCATGGGACAGTCCACGCCAGATGATCCCCAGTGACCCAAGGTGGGCAGAGCCCCGGTGATCCTTGGTGCTGGTGATCCATGTTGGGAAGACACCTGCCTGGGGGGCTCCAATTCTTCCTGGCTCCTGTACCCTTGATATTCTTTTAATTTCTCTTTGTCCTTTCAAAAAACCTAAAAACTGGGTAAAAATAAAGATGTTGAACCAAGGCAAGGATGGGGACATGGGGGAATCTTGCAGGGGATGTGGGGGATGCTGGGTTTGAGGGAGCTGAGGGTTCCTTGGAGGGACTTGGGGGTTGCTCAGGCCTTTGGGCACCCCAGGCCAAGCAGCTCCAGCTGCACTGGGAGATCCCGGTGGAGGTTCTGGGGCAGCTGATCAAGGAGTCCCTGGCCCAGGACTGTCCCCATGTCCCCCATCTCAGTTCCCGGTGTCCCTTGTGCAGGATCCCTCTCTCCCTCCCATTCCCATGTCACCCTGCTCTGGGACACGTTGTGCTCCCATCCCAGCGTGAATCCCACTCCCGGTCTCAATTTCTGTTTCTGTCCCACATTCCCTGTCCTGTTCCTACTCCTGGTCCCAATGCTCCTCTGAGATTTCCATTCCTGTATTCCCTGTCCCGTTCCCATATTCCCATTCCTGGTCCCATTCCAGGTCCCTCTCCCATATTCCTGGTCCTAGTCCTGGTCCCTGTCCCCATTCATGTCCTTGTCCCCAGTCCCGTATTTCCTGTCCCTGTATCCATGCCTGATCCCAGTATTGGTCCCAGTCCCGTACTCCCGGTCCCATTCCCGAGGGCCGCCTCTCCCATGGGGCCCTGAGGGCTGCACAGCTCGGGCTGGCTGTGCCACACGAACCGTTCAGCCCCGCTGCTGTCCTTGGCCAGCTGCAGAGAGCACAAGGCTTTGGGCATTTCTCAGAGGCCCCCAGCTGGCCGGAGCAGCCCCTCCTGCCAGCAGCCGCTGTGCCTCAGAGCCCTCCCTCACGCTGGGGCCAGGCAGGGGCCATGGGCCTGGAGGAGGCTCCTGTTCTTGGGACAGGAGCGAGGCTGCAGCTCCCGCCTTTGGGCCCTGGGCCGCAGCAGCGCAGGGGAGGCCCAGCTGCAGAGCTCACAGCCCCTGCTGGCTTTCAGTGGGACACTTTGGAGCACCAATCCCCAGCCCATATTCTCTCTGCGGTTACTGTTTCCATGTTCCCCCTCCCGTTCCCATATTCTCCCCCTTGGTCCTTGTCTCCGTTTGTGGACTCTGTCCCCATCTCTGCTCCCATTTCTGGTCCCTATCCCCTTCCCCGGTCCTGCTCCCTGTCTCCATTCCCGCTCCCAGTCCGCATTTCCAGTCCCATTCACGCTCCCTGTTCCCATTTCCATTCCCTGTCCCCATTCCCGCTCCCTGTCCCCTCTCACCGGACGCCACCGCCATCGCTCCGGCCCCTCCCGGCCCTCACACAACCGAGCAAACTCCGCGCTGCTCCCGTCCACCAATCCCAGCGCGCGATCGCTCCTGTATTTCAATAACCACGCCTTCCATCGTGGTTCCGCCCAGCGCCGGCTGCAGCCGCCTCCGGGCGCTGTTTGCTCCCCGTTCCCTCCCAGTGCTCCTGGTAAGAGCGGGGCTGGTAGGGAAAGCGCTCCCAGTTCCTTCCCGCTCATCTCAGGATCGCTCCCGGTGCTCCCAGGATCGCTCCCAGTGCCGCGCCTGGGGCGGTTGTTTCGGAACCCGCCCAGGGCAGAGCGCGGCTGCTTTTGGGGGTCGGCACTGCCCGTGCCGGGCTGGGACGGAGGAGGAGCGGGAGGAAGAGGAGGGAGACCGGAACAAGAGAAGGAAGATGAGCATCCCAAACACCACGGGACTCCCCCGCCCGCACGCTCCGGCCGCAGCTCCCCCGGCTCCGGCTGCATCGCCCCCTCGGAACCCGCAGGTGAGCGGGGAGGGGGAGCCCCAAATCCATCGGCGGGGGCGGGGGGGGGGCGTTCCGGGAGGATTTTTTTGTGGGACAGGGGATGTTTGGGTCTTGCAGGACCCCAAAGCTGGTCCGGAAATGCCCCTGCAGGGATCTTGTGGGGGGTCCCACTTTGCGATCGCCCCGGACCGCCAGGGAGGAGGGGATGTCGGGTTTGGGGGTACCCGGGAGAGCCGGGACGAACGTGGGAGCCCCTGTTATGTTTGCCCAATTATCCCATCATCAGAAAACCCAAACAATATTAGAGGTAGGAGCAATTTTAATTGAATAGTTTAGAAAACATATAAAATTGGATACACTTGAAATATTGACAATATAATTTGATTAAAAGAAGGGATAATTTGGTTCCAATAATAGCGCATAAGTAAAAGATAACCGCAGGGTACGGAGTGCAGGGTTCTGCACCCTTGCCACCTCACGTACAAACTTGCCAAGTGAAGATTCCCCCCTTATATGCCATGTGTCAATGCCATCTCTTCCCATTTTCGATTCATCACGCTTCTACCTCCGCCCTCATCACCTTTACCGTGCAGGTTCCACCACTCGTTTTGGTGGTTGCACAAGTCTTTGGGGGTCATTTTTGATGAAGACCTCTCCTCTTCTTCGATGTCCTTCAACTCACCCCTGGCTTACACATGTGCCCCAAGCCATACGATGTAAGCCAAAAGTAACATACTATTACATTTAAGTATCAAAGCAATAAATCTCTTATAGCTGGCTTTTTCCTGAGACCCAACCAGATATTCCCTTCTTTC